TGGATCATCTTCCCCTGCCGACAACTCTTCTTTGACCGCTTCGACATCCGTCGAAGGTGGCATCTCCTCTGACACAAACAAATTTCGGACACAAACAACTTTCGGACAGAGCTCACTACTAAACCAAACGAACAATGCCGTCTCGTCCTGCGTCAATGCGAATCTCTGGTACTGGCTGCTCGTCGGGAGAGCGGCCATGGCCGCATCCAACTTTTCCGCTGCTGTGAGCAGTTCCTCCTCTCCAAGCGGCCGGTCGCTGAAACTTTCGCCATGAAGGTCTGCGCCCGTCCAGATGCGCACGAGAGCACGAGCCATCGCGACTTGGTCGTACGCACGCAGCACGTGCCGAGGTTGCAACTGCAGCTGTCTATTCCGAAATGCCTCTGTGTTCTCCAAAATCCCGAGACCTATCTCGAAGATGAGGTTCGATGCAGAAAGAGTGGCCAGGAACCACGGTCCTGTTCCTTCTCTGGCAGCTTCCGATGTGGCTTCTGATCTCAGCAACGCAGCCTGGCAGTTGAAGCAAGATTGCAGTCCAGTAAAGACTGCGCGGGCATCCGGGGACATCTCTATGACGCTGTTCGGCTTCTCGAAGTAGGCTAGAACGCGCACAGCAAGCGACTGCACGTCTGCACCTTCCGGCACCGGGATGTCCCTGTTAGTCAGCCGCAACTCTGCACGAGGGTGCCCATCCTTGCTGTTTCGCAAGCAAAAAACATAATAATATGTTTCTTGCACTTACGCGACGATGGCCTACGGGAAGGCGCCCGGACTGAAACTTTACTTGGGCTTTCAAGCTAAACCTTGATCCAGGCCACTGCAGAGTGCGAAAACCGCAGAACAGTTCTCGTGCCGTCAGCCAAAACGACTCCGTAGCACGGGCACTGCTCTGTGCTCATGCCAGCTTCTTCCGCAAAGAGCTTCTTTGCCACGAGATGCTTGTTGGCTCCATCAGGCAATCCTGTCGAAGCCATTGCCTACTCTTCCTGCCCGCCATGTTGGAGTATCCCCCAAGACTTCAACGTGGGTTTCTGCTTGTCACACCATGCGAGCATTTGTAATAGTAGCCATCCGCGTCAACATCATGATCATCATCACCCTGATATTCAGAAAAAGAGTAGGCAAAAAGGAGTAGGACTAGGAGAGAGTAAGAGTAAGAGAGTAAGAGAGTAAGAG